AGAAAACCTGTCCAAATGTTATCATCTAATTTTAAATAGCTAAATACTCTTTTACAACCAAGTTTGTATCTTTTCAGCATCCGGATAACTTTGGAACATTAAAATTGCTATTAAATGTTAATGCCACTCACGTGAGGTTAGTCACTTTGTGCAAAGCTAGTATTAAGAAGACAAAAGACGGGGCAGGGATTCAGCTCGGTGGTTCAGCTGCCTGCCTCGCAAGCACAAGGACTGGAGTTCGATCCCTGGTACCAAAACAGAAGAAGACGAAAGACGGAGACCCAGAGCCCTTTGTAAAAGGAGCTTATACTCGGCCAGAGGAAGCACTCCCACAAATAAATCCAAAGGAACCCTGATGCTGCATCATACATGTGATGACAGGAAAAGACGGAGGGCACTGGATGAAGCATGGAGAAGGGAATGCGGGCAGAGACTGGGCAGGACTCACAAGGCTCCTAGGGAAACTTTAGGAAAAGATGATGACGGCGCTGGACTGTAAAAAACGAGAAGGAAAGCCAGAAGGGAAAGGGAAACTTTCTAGACAAAGGGAGTTCTGTGTGTAAATGCCCAAGGCATGAAAAACCTTTGAGGGCAGTGAGATCACTGAGATCAGCTGCAGTGAGAAATGTAACAGCAGACATATCTGCAGAAGTCTCCAGAGATCAGACAACAAAGCTAAACACAACCCTTAACGACTTGAACGTTATTCTCTGTTCATCCTACTTGCCCGCGTGGTTTAATGCGGGAAGAAGTAACAGGAGGCTCCCACTTTAGTAGCAAGTCCCAGCCACGTTAGGGACAAAGCAGACACTACATTTCAAATCTCCTGTGGGCATTTCTCTTACTATCCCAATTGGCTTAAAATGTAAAGAAGGTGTGAGGAGCTGATCTGTATTTTATAAATACTAATTTTTGGGGGGTTGGGGGGGTTGAGATAGAGTCTCACTATGTAGTTGAGGTAGCCCAGTCTGGTCTCGAAGGTACAGTGATCCTCCTGCCTCAGCCTCCCGAGTGCTGGAATTACAGGCATGTGCCACCATGCTCAGCTTTATAAATCCTAAATTTAGAGTTCATAATTTCTTGGTAAAACATCTGTTAATGTTGACAAGAACCAGAAGAGGTCATGGAAGTGTAATGTCAGCATAGACTACATGGAGAGACAGAGGCACCAAAGATCTCAAAGAACAGCAGCCACTGGGTGTTGACCTCATCTCTCATGGAACTGAAGTCTCCCACACGGAAGTTCTCCCCTGTAGAGAGGAAAGGTCTCCCCTTCAGCCCAGCATGGCAGATGGGCCCAGCCACGCAAGGGCCAACACAGCTGTGTCTGTGTCCCCATCCCCGTCCCCCTCAACTGCCCCAACAAGACGAAGAGGGCCTCTCTGAGGTTCCTAGATGAAAACTGAAGTCCACTGGAAAAGTGAAGAAAATCTCTGGATAAAGGAACACCACACCACCATAGTTGGTAAGTCAGAGACACCAGCACCTCACATTGGAACCTGGTCTAACTTCAGGGGAAAGACAGCTGGAACCCACAGTAGAGCCTTGCAGAGTTCAATCCAGCAGGAACTTGGGCCTTGCAGACAGAAATCAGCCTGAACCTCAGGGGACAGCTGCTGGCTCGCTGAGACTAATTAGTTTAGACCTGTCCATACATTCCAGTCCACACTGGCTATTGTGTCAACAGAGGCACACCCTGAAGGAGATCCTCTATTTCTATTTGTATTTTTTATTTTCAAAGTAATATTTTTCTATCTTTAAACATTAAAAAATTTTATCTTTTTCTTTTCTCAAATTTTTCTTTTCATCCTTTTATCTTCTTTTCCTTCTCTCTCTCTCTCTCTCTCTC